AAACTGGCTTGGAGTGATGGGGTTACTTAGCCTCTGACCCATGATTACCATTTTGAGGAAAGTGACCTTTTTGGTTTCTCTAAATCCCAGTCAGCTGAATTGCATGAAAGCTCATGGGAGGAAGCCATTCCAAGCGTGGGAAAGTCAGAGGCCATAGAAAGGTGCCTCCAGGCTGGCCCTGCTTGGGCAACTGAGAAGGAACTCCCAGCCCATCTCCAGAGCAGAAGTGGGAACAGTTCCCACAACAGCACTGCCCACATGAAGCTTCCCCAGGTTCTGGGCCTCACTTCCCACAGTCCTACTTTTCTGTGGCTTTTTGCTTCCAGGGGTTTCTACTGCTGAAACCTGGCCATTTCCAGGGAACAGCTGAGGGGATACTCACATTGGGGTGACCAATAATTCTACGAGACAGGGTTTCCCTGTAATCCCAGGTAGCCTGAAACTCACTATATAGACCAGGCTGGCCTCCACCTCACAGACCACACCAGCCAATGACCCCATTAAAAAATAATAATAAAGACAAAGTCTCAACTAGCCAGTCTTGAATTCCTAGGCTCAAGTGGGCCTCTGGTCCCAGCCTCCCAAACAGCTAGGACCAAAGGCACGTGCCACTTCATCTGGCTCTGGTGGTGTCGAAACCTACAATGTGATGCAATTTATCCACGAAAAAGGCTCCAAGAAACAGTCCCACTGGCCCCTGTCTGATCCTGCCTACCTCAACAGTGTCTCTTCAAAGGCTACAGCCTTCCCAGCTTGGTTCCAGACATGCCCCATGTCCAGAGGATGCCATGACACCCTACTAGTGAGACTCCCAGGTGATGATCAGACTTTGAGTATCCTTCCTGGTTAAAAACCCAGCAGGTATTGTTAAGAGATACCTGCCCCCTGGTTAGGCCCAACCCTTTCCTGCTATCCAGCTAAGACACAGCCAGCTCCCTACTATTGCCTCTCCTTCCCAAGGTAAAAACCTGCCTCTCAATTTCCATTTAAAGCGTTTCCCATTGAGGGTTCAAATAAGAGGTCTTGGTCCCAGAATGTCACATACGGGACTTTATCACTAAGATGCTCTTGATTAACTGTCTCCCATACCTCAGTCAGAATCCGATCTTCCCCAGATGCCCAAGGGCTGGGTCTATGGCCAGTAATGACTCTGGAGTTGGGACAGGCATCCCATACTTACAGAGGCCTCTGGCACTTCAGAGACTAGGGACCAGGTAGGCCGTGAGAGCCTTCTATGGAGGGAGTGGAGAAGGGGCTCCTGACCCCAAGGCCAGGAGAGGCATTTCTGCTGCCTTCTGAGAAGCCCTAGGCTGTGCCTCAGCTAAGGAGCTCCTGTTCCAATGAAGGACTGAACAAAGGGAGTACACAGCATTTTGTGAGAACATTCCAGAAATTTACTGGCTATAGACAGGGGTGGTAGTGAAGGAAGTATCCTGAACAGAGCAAACACAGAAGTTACTGTACAGAAAGGATCATGAGGAGCATATAGACTCTCCCACCACCACCACCCAGTGACACCAGAGAGCCAAGATGAGAGAGGAAAATACCCATCCAACCCAGTGAAGCAGAGAACCTAGCTGCCACATTCCCAGCACAAGTTACTCATCACGTTAAGAATAAACTGTACTTTGTCTTGTTCCTTTCTAGCATACACAGCATTTGAAGTCTCTGGTGAAAAAAAACACCTGGCAGGTACCAGCAGTTAAGATCAACTGGGGTCCCCAATTATCCCATTCAGTCAGCTTGCCTGCCTCTTCAAAACTCCATTCCAGTCATTGTTCTCAAGTGACTTTATAGTTCCTACCATTTCTGCTGCCCCAGAAGTGCAAACAGCAACAATTGGGGGTCATCCAAGGAGGTGCAAAGTTCCTGGGCCAGGCCCCTTGACCTCTATCTGAATGCCAGCTGAGGCAAAGCTGAAGGCAAGCCAGACAAACCCCGACATTGACTTGTTCACTATTTATCTGAAACCCAGAGGTAACTGAATGTTGAGTGTCCTTTCATTTCCTAAATCTGTGCCTAATGAAGGGGTCATGCGACCCTGGTGCTGCCTGAAAGTGTGGCCAGGCACATCTGCTAGCTCACCAGAGGGCTACAACACGCCTTGGGCTAGAGGCCCCTTCTAAGACTGGTAGATCTTCACTTCCTACTCCAACATGCCCATGTCAGAAGCAATGTTCTCACCCTCCTTATGTCCAAGAAACACATATTCAAGAGCAAAGGCAGTCAGGAACACAAAGCTCGAGCAATGCTGGGTTTCTGTCCACATCACCTCTAAGTCTGAGATAGTACTTAGTTACTTTAGGGAAAACTCACCACCCTATCAGAGACAGCAGTTAGTTCACCGTGGCTGAGGCTCAGGGGCCAGTTAGCTTGGCAACACTTCAGTAGGCTTGGGGGCAGCATACCAGTTTGGAGTTTACTTCCAGCACAGCATACAGCAAGCTCTAGGCATGGAATGGATGGAATGAATGAACAGTGGAAATCTAGCAAGTGGCATGAAATCCCTAATGAGCTAGAGAAAGGCTCTGATGCCCAAGGAGAAACACGGATGTGGAGATCTAGCCCAGAGCAGCAGAAGCTGGCATCTGCTCATAATTGCTAAATTAGCCTTTAGGGTTTGGGCCAGGAGCATTAACTCAACTATAACAGGCTATGGGGAAAGCCAAAAGTAAAAACAGACCCAGCTGTTTATAGTTATTTAAATCAACAAATGCTGGACACAGTGGAAGTATTCATAATTCTTTGCTTAAAGTAACTTAAACCCTGGAATTTAAAGTGACACCACTAAAGAATCACAACAGAGACTGCCAGACTGTCCTTTAGGCTCTAGTTTATGTGGGGCAGGAGCTGGATGAGCCTTCTGGCTCCAGTGTGAAGTGACACATCCTGCCTGCCCTTCAGTGAGACTCCCAGCTCAGGAGTGACAAAAGCAAAGGACTTGCTCTAAGAGGGATCTGCAGTTACACTTCACTTTTCATTTTGAATCAGGCAAGTTCATTAAAAACAAAAAAACACAACAACAACAACAACAAAAAACCAAAGGGACAGAATGGGTGAAATTAAATCCAGGCCTCCAAAAGGCTGTAGAACAGTCAGCACCTCCCAGGGATTCTCTGCAAGTTAATTATGAGAACTGAGACAGCCCTTAACCCTGTCTGTCTCTACATGCCCTGGGCCATGTTAGAGTGGTGTCTCTGCCCTGGAAGACAAGACTCCTGCCCTGGGCCATTTTCTCCTAGTTTCTCTGAGTAAACAACGAAATCACAGACAATACTTAAGGATTTATTTCTCTGACTGGATGAGTGGAGAGGTGACTCTTGGAGCTAATAATCTGTCACAGGGTCATGAAGTCCCTGGACATGCATGGCTTCTGGGTACAAGCTGAAGCCTGGATACATGGGAACCTGCTGATGCTGTGGCCTTGCAAACTGTTTCTCCTCAGCTGTGCACAGGCCCAGCAGGTCACATGTAGCCACAGTTCCAGTCTGTAGGACAAGTACTGGGATTTGCTGTGAGAGGCCTGGCTGTTCTGGTACAAACCCAGTTATTTAATTCTTTCTACAAAGGTCTCCTCAGACCAAGTTCTGACCTGCTGACCACTGACCACATCACTACCCAAGCAGAGTCATCTTAAAGCCTAGCTGCTTTATCACATTTTGAGGTCAAAGGTACTTACTCATCCTCCATGGTGGAGCTGGTATGTAGTTCTCGTATCTGTAGCCAGAACCACACGAAGTAGAGAAAGACAAAGGCACGATTAACTCCCATGGGGTGAAAAGATACACCATGGAGGCAAACACCAATTTAGTCTTTTTTCCTGATAAAGGAGCCTTTGTTTTTTGAGACAGGGTTTCCCTATAGCCCCAGCTGGCCTGGAACTTGCTATGTAGACCAGGCTGGCCTTGCCCTTGATCTTACAGAGATCCAACTGATTCTGCCTTCCGAGTGCTGGGACTAAAGGCATATACCACCACATCTGGCTAAGGAGCCAATATTAAGATAGTAAGACACTAGATATGCTCTATGAAAAGTCTATAGAGTATTCTAGTTAAAGCACTGTGAAAGCAAATCATTTCAATTCTCAGAATATATAGGCAAGGTTCACCTTGCTTAACCAAGCCTACTATAAGGTTTGCCTTCCCAGACTTTTTGCTAAAGCTCAATGGAGGGTAACATTCCACAATGACAAAATGGAACCAGAGGAGGGGTGAACATAGCCCTGCTGACCCTCAGGCTACGCTCTTGATGGACCATGAAAGCCAACACACCAGCAGATGCCCATTATCTATCCATCAGCCTTTCTCCAAAGGAAAGGTGATATAGCCATGCTATGATAATATTTCTCTCCCTAGGAGCAAAATCCCTTTGAAGGCTTGTGGGAAAAGCAGAACAGAGCAGATCTTGCCTGGCTGGCCCATTCAGGAGCAAATGTTCATCCTCATCAGACCAGGGTTATGGCACTGGTGGGAAAAATAGGGCCATGATAGATGACAACTGCTCGAGGACCAAATACCCAGAATGAGGATGCCACGTGGCTTCTGTATATCAGACATGCAGAATGAGCCCATGAGCTTGCCTGGACACTCACTCTTCATATGAGTGTAGAAGAGAATCATCCAAAGGAGAGAGGAAAGGCTTCAGAGACCTTCCTAAGAAGAGAGGAGTGCCCAAGCCATCAGCCAGTTCTTGGCAGAGCAGCGACAGAAGTAACATGAGCTGGCACTTGCGTCTTCTTACAGTGCTCCCAAGCCCATGCTTTGACCTCCACAGGAATTTCAGAGCAGCAGACCAATCAATCCTGGAATTTGAGCTGAGGAGTGGGAGGTGGTCTTGGGCCACTTGGCCTTGAAGGCTACTCAAGAGGAGAGAGGACAGCAGCACCTGGTATACCACGCACAGGTCTTACATCATCCAAGGCTGAGGCTGGCTTCACACTTAACTAGACTAGTAAAAATGCACTGTGACTCTGCTACACAGATATGGTATCTACGTAAAAGGCACTCCAAAGGCTTTGTTTCCTTGCTATGGATGGGTTATTTTTTAATCATTTAAAGTCATTAGCCAAATTACATATACCTATGTAGCCTCTTATTCTCTGGCTCCCAAATGTCTGACAGTATTTCCCCAATACACAAATAAAAACTTAACAAAATTTTAAATGAAAAAAGAAAAGAAAAAAAAATGTTGAAAAGAAATACAAATCAAAGAAATTTATTGGTATTGACAAAATACATAATACAAAAAACAAAACACAACGCAACAGAAACAAAATCAGAAAGCCCACCCTAGTGGGCCCACACGTCTAACAGACTGACAGTACATAGTCCCGGACTCTGCAAAGCACAGCACTTAATTCATGAGGACCTCCATCTGCACCAGCCTTGCATTGGTGTCACCCGACGTCCGATAGGGTATCATTCCAGCAAAGGTAATCAGTGCTCTGGCTTGACTTCGGAGTTGCTAAAGGAAAAAGGGATCAAGACAAGAAAACTGGTTAACTTTCAAGTCAGGCGATGCACTAAGAACCACCACCAGGTTCTTCTGTGTGTCAGGAATGTGTCTCTCCACTGTCATATTCTTTCAGCCTCATGTCCCTTTAACAAACTGAGGCCCCAGTTCCATGGGGCGCCAAAGCCCTTCTACTAAGCAAAGGATGGTGGTTCTGCCAGCAAGCTACCTCACCCCAATACATCTGGCTAGCTTCGACACAGCTCTAAGCATCCAAACCCTTTGCTCCAGGTTTCTGAGCTCTCTTCTGTTTTCTGTCCATCCACCTCCACAGGGATCTGAGTTTCTGGTATCCCACAAAGCCCTGCAGAGCCAGAAGCTGGGCTGCAGCCCTGCAACCTTAAGCTACACCCTCCCATCCCTGTCTCCCATTTTCTTTCCTTCCTTTGGTTCTTTCCTTTTTGTCTCTCCAGGACATAGGCACTCGGCCCTCTGAGAAAACATTTATCAAATTTCTGTACTTTTCCTGGGGGTAAAAAGAGGGCCCTACAAATTTAAAACCAAGTATTCCTGATACGAAAAAAAGAGACAACCTTTACTCAGACTTCCCAGTGATAAATTATTGAACACAGAGTATAGAAGTGGGAGAAAAAGACAAAAGAAAAGACTTGGGAGAATGGCTTCGCTTCAGATGGTGGCGACAGGCAGATGCAGGGATCTAGGGACTCAAGTTGTCCTAGACTGAGACATGGTGGATCTTATTCCAACAAGAAAGGAAGCAATCTAAACTATACAAAGAAAGGCCACACTTTTCAGGAAAATTCATGAGTCATTTTTCAGGTTTATTTCAATGACTGGTTCAGAAAACAGAAAGGCAGATAGTTTTTGCCTGATGTGTGAAATAAACTGTCAAGTGTATTGTCCTTAAAAATGCCCTAACAGGGGCTGGAGAGATGGCTCAGTGGTTAAGAGGACTGACTGCTCTTGCAGAGGACCTGGGTTCGATTCCCAGCACCACATGGCAGCTACAAACCTTCCCTAACTCCAGTTCCAGGGGAATCCAAAGCCCTCTTCTGACCTCCGGGGCTGGCATTGCATGACACGGGTGCACTCACATACATGCAGGCAATACAGTCATACACATTAAAAAAAAAAAAAAAAAAAGCCCTAACAACAAGAAGAAAACTTACTGTGTGCTAAAAATACTCATGATATTTCCTTTAAAGGTAAATAAAAGCGCACAGGTCATCCTATCTAATATAGCTTCTTTAATGAGCGCTGGGGATAATTAGGCAAAATGATCAGCTGCATTTTAAGGTGGGAAACCTCTTCTCAGGCATGCAGCTTGAAAAACATTTCTCCTCAATGTTACCCATGTCTACTGCCCAAAGGGGAAAAAACACCCAAAACTGCAGAATGGTAGGCAAGAGGAAGATGGGAGACTGGCTTTATTCACAGCATGTAAAACCTTTTTCCCCTTGTTGTGCTGAGGATGGACTCCGGATCTCATGCAAGTTAGGCACGTGTTCTGCCACTGAACTACACCTTAGCCCTGATAAATGAAAAGAAACCCTGCCACACAAAGAGGATGCTATTGAGAAGGTTCCACCTAGATAAGGGTAGGGGTGGGCTAGGGCCCAGCTCCTGCCTGGACAGGGCCTCCTGATCTATACAAACACACAGAACACCAAGACTGACCTGGGCCTCCTTTGCCACAGAAAGGCTCCTGCCAAGGGGGACAGGCACAGTGATTACTACTGGTATACAGGCTCTAGTCTGCCCAAGGGCAGCTGCCACAGATGCCCACATGGAGCAGCTGATCAAGCCATGGACCACTCCCAAGCACTGTTCTCACATCCCTCAAGGGGATCGTACCTGTCCCTACTCACGAATACAGGTTCTATCAGGGACAGGGCCTGAGAAGGCACAGTGGAGAGCAAATATCTTCAGAGGCAGGAGACTGTCAACATCTTTTCAATTCCCAGAAACAGGTTGTTCTCAGACAACTGCAGAGAGTCTCAACACAGTTAGGTGGAGCTGGCCTAGTGGCACGTGCCTGTAATCCTAACACTCTGGCCTAGTGGCACGTGCCTGTAATCCTAACACTCAAGAAGTCTGAGGTAGGAGAATCAGGAGTTTGAGGCCAGCCTGGATGATAGAACAAGATCTAGCCTCAAAAAAAAAAAAAAGGGGCTAGGGATATAGCTTGGTGATTAAGGGAATGGTAATTAAAAAACGAAACATCACCACCAACCGTGGCTTATGGCTTAATTGGGTCAAATTGATGGGATATTTCCTGTGAGTTCCAGGATGTGAACCACCTGTATTGTTTAGCCCAAGCACAGCTGGAAGCCCCACAGGTAGCATGAGAGGCAGACTTTGGAGACACACCTAGTCAGTTTCTAAATCATGGCCCTAGCCCCTCCCAACTCTTTGAGGGACAAACCTACAAAGGCAAACAAGTGCTTTCTAACTCCAGGCCTGTTTCCCCAGCTCTTAGATGGGGATCATAATGCCCTCTCTAAGGCTGCTGTGAGGCTAAGAGAAACAAAGGCTTGCAAAGAATGTGCTGATCAAAAAAAATATGGTTTTGCTGAAAGCGTTCACTAAAGAGTTTAAAACCTTGTGTTTTAAAACAAGCAGAAAAATTTTATGGAACCAATTACAAATAAGCATTCTGTTTGATTTCCACCCCATTCCATCCCCTACCCCCACCCCCAACTTGAGAAAAGCAGCATGCCCACTGTTTGATTTCCTTTATTCCTGCACAAGGTTTACCCTAGTGCTAGGTCATAAGGGAAAAGTGATTCAGGATCATGTGGTCTCAAGAGGGCCAGGCAAAGGATTCCAAACCAGCAAAGTGGTTTTCATCAATTTCTCATGAACGCTGGGATCTTACAGAGTCTCGATCCTCGATGACTCGCTGGGGTCTGGATGCTGAGGATGGACTTGTCCCCTTGAGCCTCTTAAACTGTGTGAACAGGATGTTCATGGTTGCAAGAAGCACTTCTGAGAGGTTATGCCTGATCTAAAGAGAGAGAAACACCTGGAGTAAGAGAAAGGGAGCCAGTCCCCAGGGGAGCAGCAAGCGGAGGGAGTGCCACACTCCCTGGTTCTGCCTGGTTATGCCATGTCCCAGAGCTGCAAATGGAGAGCTACAGCCAGCAAAAAGGATCTAGTAGCACTGTGATGTGGAGTGACAGCAAGCTCCTGGAATTTCTGTTCACTAATCACTCTGTTCCCTTATGTTCCTCACGGTGGGGGCAGCATGCCCCAAACACAGACATCATCTGGTAAGCATGGAGCTGGCCAGCACAGTGATACCAAAAAGCACCTGGATTTAGAATCAGAGAGGGAGGGGACACACACCAGTTCTCCAGTCCCACCGCCACTCCTTAGGTCTGCTTGGCTGTCTCCCCTGGTCCTGCTTGGGAGGTCTTTAGGGGGTCTACAGAAGCAGACCCTGGTACACTACTTTGGACCCTGATGCAATAAACCATGTATCTACAGAAGGTAAGACATAACAAAGAAACCATGACTAAGAGCAGAATGTTGTCTTCGTGTACAGGGAAAGCTGGAGGGGGGAACTTCAGAGCTCTATGTATCATAGTACCACACTTGCTCATGTGCAGAGCTAGCCCTGTCTCTTTCTATAAAACAGCATAGCCGGGTATGGGGCACACATCTTTAATCCCAGAACTCAGGAGGAAGCGGCAGAGAGGCAGAGAAGTAAAGGCAGACTGATGTTTGTGAGATTAAGGCCAGCCTGGTCTCCATAGTGAGTTCCAGGCCAACTGGGTCTACAAGGAGAAACCAAAAAGCAAACAAAACAATAAAACCTCCATAAGCCACAGCATTTGCTTACCAAGGAACCATTCTAAATCTGAAAGGTCACCAACGATTACCTAGACCTAGGCAACTGGGGTCCAGAGTATAGTATCTATGCTCTGAAGAAAGTCGACCTGTGCACACATGGAACGACCAGGGGAGGACCAGGCTGCAGCCCCCATCAGGAAAAACAGAATCTTGGGGGGTATTGCCTGGACATCAAGAGTTTTAAAGCCTTCCCAGTAGACCCAGTGTGCAGCCCAACAGAGCATCCATCCTTGACCTAGATGGTGGCAACGTGGCACTTTTGGAGTGATAAGAGTCATGGTTACTGCACGTGCTTCTTTATTTTTTTAATTTTATTTCATTATTTGTGTATGTATGTGCTAGATAACTTTAGTGTCAACTTGACACACCTGGGTTGAGGGAGCCTCAATTGGGGAATTGCCTCCATTGAACTGACCTGTGACCATGTCTGGGATGCATCTTCTTGATTGTTGTGTGATGTGGAAGGGCCCAGCCCACTGTGGGTGGTACCACCCCTGGGCAGGTGGGCCTATGTTGCATAAGAAAGCAGGTTGAACAGGGGCCAGGGGAGCAAGTCAGTAAGCAGCAATCCTTCATGGCCTGTGTTTCAGCTTCCGTCTCCAGGTTCCTGTACTGAGTTTCTACCTTGGGCTCCTTGATGAACTGTGACCCGGGAGATGTAAGATAAAATAAACCTTTTCCTCCCCAAGTTGGTATTGGTCAGAGGGTTTTGTCACAACAATGGAGAAACAAACTAGGACAATGTATATGCGTCCACTTGTCCTTGTATACATATACAGAGACCAGAGGTTGATGTTAATGTCCTCCTCTATGGTTCTCTACCTTATTTAAAAATTTTTCTTTTGTCTTTTTGACTACAGGGTCTCCCTGTAGTTCCAGATGGCCTGGAACTTGCTATGTAGGCCAGGCTGGTCTTGAGCTCACAGAAATCCAACTGGCTCTGCCTCCCAAGTGCTAGGATTAAAGGCATGTGCTATCATGCCTAGCCCCTCTACCTTATATTTTGAGACAGTGTCTCTCACTGAACGTGGAACTCACCATCCTAGCTAGACTGCATGTCAAGCAAGCACCCTGTTCCCTCTCCCCCAATGCCAGTCAAAGGCACATGCTACCATGCCCAACTTCTACATAGGTACTGGGAATTCAAACTCAGGTCTCATACTTACATAGTAAGGATTTTACTCACTGAGCCATCTCCCCAGCCCCAGCTTTTTGTTTTTTAATGTAGCTAATAGCTCTGAAGAGTGTTAGTTACCTTAGATACCTAGACTGGATTTTTCCAGGATGGGTCCAATTTCAGCTATCCTGATGTTCTGTGAGTATATACAATGTGTTCTCGGGAGAAACAGCATTCTGGTTAATCTGTAAATCTGGTTGCATTCCTTTATTGTCCACTTATACCAGCGGGTGTTTTAATGCTTAAGTATGTCCACAGGCATACCACATGACTCAGATCCCTCTCCCCCAGGTTTGCCTTAGTATATAAGATGGAGAGCAATTGAGGAAGGCACCCGTTGTCAACCTCAAGCCCACACATACACTCCAATACATACACATTTGAACATACCGAAATGTACAACACACACACACACACACACACACACACATTTTTTTTTAAGTTCTCAGTTTTGGAAGGGAGGAAACAGAACTGTGAAATTGGGAAAGACTCACTTCATCACTGAAGTTTCTGAAGGCAGCCACCCTTTCCTCCACACTTTCCTGATTCCTGATTCAGAGCTTCAGGCGACCAATTATCTGTTTAAAATCAAACACAACCAGCTCCATATGATGTAACACCACAGTCACACCATCTCACAAAGTAACCGTCAGCTTGTAACATGTTCCAAAATGGCTTATGGCTTCTT